GTGTACCAACTGAGCTCGTAGAAAAAAAAAAAAAAAAAAACTGAGCTCGTAGGCAAAAAAAAAAGAAAAGAAAAAAAAAAAGCTTGTAGGCTCATTGGTCCCCTGTCTATCCTTCATTCAAAAAGGATTGGTCTACTTATTTGCCGGCTTCCCTTGGAAAAAGATGTCCATTGGAAGGTTTTAGGGAAGAGTTTTCCGTCCCCTCTCACTCCCCCTCTCCCTCCTCATTAGCAGTACGGGAACCGAAAAAGAAAAAAAAAAAGCAGTACGGGTGCCGGTCCCACTGACGCTGATTCTTCATTTCTGGCCGCTGATCTTCCGAATCTACGGTCAGATTTTGAGAAATCGGGTAAGTGGGACTTGGACCCGGGAACGCATCCTACAGGGGAGGGGTGGAAGGGTGGAAGCGGGGTCCGGCGCGGAGGGGGAGCGGGTTGGGGGCGGGCTGCGGGGGGCCGCGTGAAACGTGTTCCAGTCGGCCGCCGTATACTGTACCGCTAATGAGCCTAGTGGGTCAGATCCCACTACGCTGGATTATTCATTTTTCACCGTCGATTACGAAGATGAACGGTCAGAAATGAACAATAGGGCTTAGTGGGATCTGGCCCTAAGCCCGCAGGGAGGGCTTTCGGCAGCAGCTGCGGGCTGACTTTTTTTTTTTTTTTTTTTTTAAGCAAGCTATATTCTTCTCTCATCTATCTCATCTTCTTGGTAGTAGGCATCTATCTCATCCTCTCGCTAGTCTATGTATATAGTAGGGGGAAACAACCAACCAACCAATGGGGATCTCTCCCCAGCCCACGGGGTAGGTGGGGACCACAGCCGCCGTGGGAGAGCAAGGCTGTGCCAGTCCCTCATCAGGGTGATGAGGGGTGGACAGGCATTGCCGATGGGGGAAATCGACGGTGCTACTAAGTAGCGCCGGGTGACTTTTCAATTTTGGGTTTCATCAATTTGGTTACCGGGCAGAATGCACCTGGTCACTTTCACGTCCAGGTGCGAGTTATGCACCTGGCCACATGTCCTCCCTGATGCTGATCATGGTCTTGGGTTGCCTCGGTCCACAACTCACGATGTGCACAAAAGGCAGAAAAGAATGTGGCGGTGTGTCTTTCCATCTTCTCGCGGAAGATTCGTTCTCATTTTGCACATTTGGTGAGTAGTGGAGCGAGGCCCTATTTGGAGGGGAAGTCTCTGAGATGAGTGAGAACTCGTTCCACCGTCCGTCTTCTTTCTTTTTCTCTGCTGTTTGTCGAATTGGCCTAGTGGGAGATGCTGGTTGTCAAATTGGCCTAAAATGGGAGAAACAGAGAATGTGCTGACCTAAGGTTTGACGCCGTTTTTTCTTTTTCTTTTTGTTTTCTTTTCTTTTTTAACACATCCGCTGGGCGTGTCGGACGGTGGTGATAAGAACAGCCTCTGCTTAACACTCCGATCTCTACGACTCCAATCTAGTGGTGGGGACCAGCAACTTCTGGAAAATGGGTCCAGCGTCCCTCGAGTACACAATGTGAATATCGCGGAGGAACATCTGATGAGCATTGAGAGCTAAAGAATGCCTATTCAGCCTTTAGCAGGCCGCCAAATATAGCACGACTATAACTAACAGTCTCGAAACTTCGAGGTTTTGGTGGACGTGTTTTTTTTATATATATATATATCGTCACAAACAGACCCACAGATGCTTAACACTAACAGTCTCGACCTCCTGATGAGTCGGTGAAACTCCGATGAAACAGTTTGTCACAGCCCCTCGTTTGTTGTCCTCTTCTCTCTCTCTGCCTATGGTTTTACCGGGCAGTTCTGTTTGTGACGATATATACTACGACTTCGCTAGCTTCCTGCTACGGTTTTTTCCGGTCAGGTCGAGCGGCAGTGGTCGGGGCCGTTACTAGGCGGCCATGCTGTGCCTCTAGTGCCAGCGGCGTGTCGGACTCTGTCTCTTATACACATCTAGATGTGTATAAGAGACAGGCAGTGGTCGGGGCCGTTACTAGGCGGCCATGCTGTGCCTCTAGTGCCAGCGGCGTGTCTGGAGTGTATTTTTTGGCTGTGACAGACCTTTCTTTGTTTCGTGGATGTTTTGCTGGCTTGTGATGGGGTGTGAACCGACAGTCTGTAGAGTTTTCCATCTGGTGTGGGTGAGTGATAGTCTACTTTGATTTTGGTTAAGGTAGATTATCATTTACAGTGTAATCAGTGAGGGGATTCTGCAGACTGTTGAGGGTTCAGCCTCCTGATGAGTCGGTGAAACTCCGACGAAACAGTTTGTCACAGCCCCTCGTTTGTTGTCCTCTTCTCTCTCTCTGCCTACGGTTTTACCGGGAGTTCTGTTTGTGACGATATATATATAACCCCCTCCGTTGCCAGTGGTGGATGCTAACTCTCCATGTCGGATATTTGATGATGGGTGCCATGACAAGGCTCCAGAGTCCCACAAATGGACCCAAAGGCATTTACCCTTCGCCTCACATAGACCCACAGATTATGCATCTGCACTTTTGTGGTTTCGCAATTCTCCCCCCCCCCCTTGTCTGGAATTCCAGACATGCTGAGGGCATTCTCACACTAGGACTTCCCTGAATGTATCTGACCGAAATTATGTCCAGAGCACAGTCCAAAACGTCCTAGCGTCTTCACCCCCACAAATAATGTCCAGATTCAACTTACCCCTAGAAAATCAGATTTTTGTTTTTACTCACTTGGAACGCCCCTAATTGAACAGAAACCCAGGCGTTATATTGGATGTGCCATGGGCAGAGTGCCTTGCAGAGGGAGTTTACAGGTTTTTTTTTTTTTTTTTTCGAGGKGGGGAAGGGGGGTATAGATGAGTTTTAAAGGSGGGTTGAAAGGGGTATTGACTTCCAAGGCGTATGTTTCGGTGTTTTTTTTTTTTTTTTTYGGAATCTATACGGAAGACCCTCAGCCAAAAGTGTGGTTGCATTGCAAGTCTAGAGAACATATTTTTTTACAGATTAAAAAAATAATAATAATAATGGAATTTTAGGGCCCCACCAAAGTTGTCACCAATGTACTGAATATAACGCCCGGGTGTTATAAACGGGTATGATGCCCGCCGGGCATTATATTCGTATACAATGCCCATGCGTTGTTTTCGGGTGAAGACCGCAGTGCAAGTATGCTCTTGAGAGAAACCTTGAAAAAGTTAGGGGGTTCGCTGTACACCTCACAAATCATCACTCCCATGTGGCTCTTCAGACGCGGAAGAACGGTCATAATGGGCCTCACTCGGCTGTAAAACATTCTAAACGTATCTGGACCTGCGGTGCACTTAGATTGTTGGAACCCTCCCAATGCATCTGGTCCAGCAGCAGTCCACATTCATGCAGAGTGTTCTGTCCTCGAGCAATGGAAAATGTCCCCTTCCTCACTTTGTCACACACCACCGAAATGAAAAAAGTACCATTAAGTGCCAATTTAGCAACAAAAGAAAAACAAAAAAAAGTAGTTCCATTAAGGAGGCCATGGGTTCAAACCCCTCCGCTTCAAATCCTCTTCACCTTGTGCTCGGAACTGATTTTGTTTTTTTTTTCTCTTTTAAAAACTGCACTATGTTCTTGTCTCAAATTCTTTATTTTAATATATTTTTGCCTTTCACTACCTTCCTACCACTACTCGTAAGATGACTTGTGTGGGGGGAAAAAAAAAAAAGACGACTTGTGTGGAAAAAAAAAAAAAAAAAAAAAAAAAAAAAAAACCTAAATAGAGGGGACCAACAGTCAGTCAGTCATGCTTTTTGAAATCTGGTGTGCATGTGTATCTGACACTATCCCTCTTGCTCGCTCTCCTTACCACTTCTCTGCAGCATGATTAAGGATGCAGAAGATAAGGGGCTGATCGCTCCGGGCAAGACGGTCCTTGTGGAGCCGACAAGTGGCAACACAGGTATCGCTCTAGCTTTCATCGCCGCGGCGAAGGGGTACAAGCTGGTATTAACCATGCCTTCCTCCTTGAGCCTTGAAAGGCGTACCGTGCTGCTGGCGTTTGGCGCTGACCTTATATTGACGGAGGCGTCGAAGGGGATGAAGGGGGCGATTAGAAAGGCGCAGGAGATTGTCGAGGCGACACCCAACGCCTACATGTTGAATCAGTTCGACAACAATGCGAACTGGATGGCGCATTACAAGAGCACGGGGCCAGAGGTGTGGAGAGACACAGCGGGCAAGGTTGACTTGTTCGTCTCCGGGGTTGGCACAGGGGGAACCATCATGGGAACAGGGCGATACCTTCGGGAGAAGAACCCTGATGTCAAGCTCTACGCCGTCGAGCCCGTCGAGAGCCCTGTGCTGTCTGGCGGAAACCCTGGACCTCATATGATTCAAGGGATTGGTGCGGGGTTCATCCCGGGCATCATGGATCCGAAGATCGCCAATGAGATCCTGAAGGTGTCCAGCGAGGACGCGATCGCGATGGCCAAGGAGATCGCACTCAAGGAAGGGCTGCTTGTGGGCATCTCCTCCGGGGCGGCTGCGGCAGCAGCTATAAGCCTTGCAAAGCGCCCGGAAAATGCCGGAAAGCTCATTGTTGTCGTACTGCCCAGCTTTGGAGAGAGATATCTCAGTTCTCCCCTTTTTGCGTCCATTCGCGCAAAGGCAGAGGCTCTGCCGGTTGCCCCAGTTCACCTCTAGTGGGCGCCCCATCGCGATCAAGCTTGCCGCAGGACTTCCCCCCTTTTCAGGACGAGGGCGTACTCGCACTACGACTTCCTGGACTTCTCTCTGGACTCTGGACTTCATTGTGGTCAAGTGCATCCATCCAGGCTTGCCCGTAAAAGCGGTCATGTACATCCAGGAATAAAATGTCCTTGCGTGGGTATCCCCTGATTTTACCTTCCGTTCGCCACTTCGGTTGCCAAGTTGGAATAATAGTTCTCCCCATGAAGAGCTCTTATTGGGGAGAACTTGTCAGGAGAGTTTCTTTTTAGGTCATGTTCGCCCAAAGAACCAGAGTTGTAGATCTCAACTGGATTGGGGCCAGGTACGCCCAGGCCTGGCCGTAAAAGCGGGCAGATACGTCCATAAATTACTACACGGGAGTGTTGCTCTTTCTATCCTCCCCTCCTTAAAAGCTCCTTACCTGATCGAAAAGCAGTCATCTTATTAACTGAGAGCATACTCACACTAGGATTTTTTCGATTGGGTTCTGGACGTGATTACAGTCGGATGCATCCAGGTTTGGCTGTAATTGCAGTCGGATACATTTGGCAAAGTGCTTGTACTGTGAGTATGGCCTGAAAGTGCTGGCATAAAAGGAACTCTTGGTGGTTTTCTTGCGGGTGTTTGCTGCTGGCAAATAGATCATGGCGAGAGTTTCGTTGAGTGCATACTCACGCCAGGGCTTCTTGACGTTGGCTTAGGGTCTTAGAATCATGGAGCCGGGGTTATAATGCAACCAGAGGCAGAGGTTTGTCCACACACACACACACACACACACAGAGAGAGAGAGAGAGAGAGAGAGAGAGAGAGAGAGAGAGAGAGAGAGAGAGAGAGAGAGAGAGAGAGAGAGAGANAGAGAGAGAGAGAGAGAGAGAGAGAGAGAGAGAGAGAGAGAGAGAGAGAGAGAGAGAGAGAGAGAGAGAGAGAGAGAGATTTTTGCCCATCTTCTGTCTCATGTCAGAGCTGTCGCTGCTGGAATGATCTTCAGTCCAGTAGTTCGCTTCTAGATCTTGCGCGTTATGGTGGTGAAAGTATTTTTTAATAAGTTTTCCATAAATAATATTAATATGTATGACATGTAAATGTTATTTTTGGAGGGTTCAGCCTCCTAACCAGTTAATGAAAGCCTAATGAGACCCCTCTTTTGCAGCCCCCTGCGTCTTTTCGTCTCCATCGTGGTTTCTCTTCTATGGGACCATGCATCTGTTCAATTCTGTTATGCATGTTCATTGTGCATATAGTATACTATATACATGTTTATGGACCTAGTTGCACCACTCACCATACACCAAGATTTTGAATGCATCTGGACATCTGGATGTCCGGACGTCCGGATTCATTGAAAATGTTGGCGGATGGCGAGTTGTGCAACTAGGCCCTGTGTACCGAATATGGGTCGGTATGGATGGGCCTCGCGGCGCCACTCATCACATGTTGTGAATACGACAAAAACTGTGTTGGGTGTATCTCCCTGTTGTAGTGGAAGACATTCTCCATTTTGCACAATTGGCGAGTAGTGCGGCGAGTCCCTATGGGCCTAGTTGCACTACTCATCAGCTGGCCATTTTGAATGCAGCAGGTCAAATTTTCTGTTCAGAGTCTTCAGACACACACTGATTTTTTTTGGCGGATGGCATGGTGCAATGCGACAACGCCCTATGTCTGTCGGTGCGGCAATCAGTGTACCGAATAACTGTGTGTGCATGCATGGATAAAGAAAAGTGGCATTTTGTAATTTGTAATTTGTAATTTTTAATTTTTAATTTGTAATGTGTAAAAGTGTCATTTCTTTAAGGGTGGTGTAGAGATGGTAATCGAGAATTGGAAGCTTGCTGTCGGGGCAGCAATGGTCGTTTAAAGCATCAGTACATGCAAGCTATCGGCCGTGGGCCCTTTCGGAGGCCGCCCGCCGCCTATTCCATTTTATCTTCCGGTGCTTGGCCTCCTACATTTTCCATTTTTGGAAAGGCTCAAAACAGGTTCTCTTTTTTTTTTTTTTTTTTTTTTTTTTTTGAGAAAACAACCCCGGGATCAGCTTGAGGTGCTGGTAGGAGCAGACACCTCAAGCTTCCTCGGGGGAGGCTCCATCTATTGGTGGGGACTTGTAAACATTTGTACAAGAAAGCAGGGACAGGCTGAAACATGCGGGGGGATCGCCTTGTCGTACACCGGCAGTAATATTCAATGAGACACTAGCTACTTGCCCCTTTATACACTGTATGTTGGTGGCCACATCCATTCACTTTCATTCATCCTCCTCCCTTTGGAAACTATTCCGTTGACCTTAAACCCTAAACCCTTGATACATGATTGCTTCGGCCCGGAACCCTCACTTTTTATAGACTATAGCAGGCGGAAGTTTGATTGTACATATACCATCCCTGCTTATATACCGCCTCCCTGCTTGGTAGTCAGAACCTCAAAGCCTTCGAGAAGCTGTACCCCCACAGACTCCATGGTGGTGAATCTGAGACTTTGCCCATCTATTCTATACACCTTCGGCACAAACCATCCTTGCTTATGTCCCGCCTCCCTCTTTCGTAGCCTGACCCCTAAGTCTTTGAGAAGCAGAACGCTAAACGTTATGCGCCCACTGACTTCATTGCGGTGATTCTGAGGCGTTGCCCTTCCATTCTGTACACACTGACTTCATTGCGGTGATTCTGAGGCGTTGCCCTTCCATTCTGTACGCCTTTTGTGCCGATGGGGTAGAAGCATTGAGCTTTGGGACACCAGTGTCTGCAGAGTGTTCTGCCACTCCTTTGAATATGCATGGTCCTTTGTCTGCTTCGATTGTATCCTTGATTCTATACTTGGCTGCCCTCCGAAGTCGTAATTGGTTGTTGTTGAGCAAGTCCACAGTTTGCAGTCCTCGGATTTGTAGCAGCACCCCTTACTGTTTCTGCTGCCCTTAGCACGCCATTGTTCCCTTCACTTACTTTTCCAACCTGTCTGCAGGTTGGAAATGAGGTTCTATGGGGCAGGCATGGGGCTGGAGGCTCGGGAATTCAATTGGGGGGGGGGGGKGGTTGCTACTAGGATGAAGTTAGTCGGAAGATATGGGACTTGGTAATCAGTGAGGGGCTTTCGCTGCCACGAAGAGTATCTCCACGGTCTCCACTGAATGTCTGGACTCGCATCTAGTTCGCTGAACCTCCTATGGGGATCCTGCCATATTTTAATGTAAGAGTCGTGGATGTTCTGTTTGGCCTGAGGTTCGTTCTCGTTGCAGTATTCGTTTGTCATGTTCTTCCATGCTTCCCAAGTGTGGGATCTGATGACCTCCTCTATTGCATATTGGGCTTGCTGGAGCCCAAATTGATGGTCTTTCCTTTCAAAGGAGCACCTTGCTCGCCAAGCCAGCATCAGGATGTGCAACCGTGTGTATGAGAATAGGTTAGCTGCGAAGGGAGACCAGCGGGCTAGCAAGTGTTGATTCTTACCGATCAAGAGGAGGCCCAGATCCCATGGGATGTGGAATGTTGTCAATGAGTGAAAGGCGGCGTCCAACCATCGCCACAATTGGGCAACCATCGGGCACGCTAGGAGAGTGTTCTAGCGTTTCGCTGGAGGGTGGGGACGCTCTGCAGCAATAAGAACAAATGGGGGACAGTTGGCTTTTCTGTTCCAAGTTTGTTCTTGACACCAACCAGTCCGGTGTGGGAAGACATCGGTGAAGGATTTGCCACTGCAGCGACCGGAGAACAGCTTCTCCAGTTGCCTGGGGCCGTGTACTGGTGGTTCAAACCTCCAGTACCTGTCCCAGCTATTTTTCAGAGATGCGGCTTGTTAACGGCCGCAACTTTAGGGCCCAGGCCGCCATTGATAAATTTCATCGGCGGCCGTTGTCGCGTCTTGGGCCTCCTCTGAAAGTCGCAGCGAGGGGCCGGCGGCCGATGTGTGGGCGAGGTACTGGTGGTTTAAACTATAAGCTTTTAGACCATCGGGCTAATCCCTGGGGCGAGGTCCCACTAGCAATTAGGATTGGATTAAGCTCCTGAATCTGGACATGTTTTTGTAGAGACTCTAGAGAGGTGCAGAAAATCATGATTGATCTGCTTTTCTCAGTTTTCTGCATCTTTGGGTAAAACACATCCAGATTCATGCGCCTACTGCAATCCTCTTTGCCACTGAGACCAAGCCGCTGGAGACGTCCTTTTTCTTTTCCCTTTCCTTTTCTTTTTCTTACTCTGGCAGTCAAATCGCCAGTCCAACCGACCAACCAAGAAAGGGCAGGCCGCCCGCTAACCAAGGGGGAGTCGGGAAAGGTATTGAGGGTACCCCCCCCCCTCCCCCTGCTGTAAACCATACCCAGGACACAGCCAGGATAAATGGGAGATCAAGTATGCAGACGAACAAGAACGAGAGAATGAGTGGTATTCACACCACTACCGTCGTTCCCCCAAATAGAATGTATGATAATCATAGCTTGAACCCCCAGTACATGCCACACAGCAGCCGCCTGCCCTGTTCGGAGGCCGAAACGTGGTGCGGCCGCCCGATATATTTTACCAATGGCGCGCTGGCTCCGACTTTTCCGGAGTAGGCAACAAACCATTCTCCTTAAACCACCAGTACGTTTCCCTGCTCGGAAACAATACCGCGGCGGTTAACACCGGAGGTCGCAGACCTCCAGTGTCAAACGCCCGGTCGCAGGTTAATAAAAAAAATATGAAAAAAAACAACAAAAAATTACAAAGAAAAACATATTCAACGTTTGAAAAAAAAAGAAATGAAAAAAACGTTGGGCGGTGGGGGTGGGGAGAGAGAGAGAGAGAGAGAGAGAGAGAGAGAGAGAGAGAGAGAGGGAGAGAGAGATCAGTGGGCCCTCGGAAAGTTCAAAAACCCGAATGAGTATTCCCGTGGAATCAGGAAGCAGAGATGAGCATTTGAGGGTTTTAGACATGAGATTTTAACAAAAACTACCAATTGAGCCTACTGACTGAGTGAACCTGCAGACAAAATTCGTAGGATCGAATGTACTAACACGGGGTGGTTACCCCGACAACAATGCAACAGAAGGCTCTCAAGTGTGACTGACATTGTTTCAAAGTTCTATAAAATGTATAAGGGACGCTGGACCCGCTTTCCAGCAGGTCCGGCTCCCCACTAATAGATGGAGCCATCCAAAAGTGGGTCTGCTAATGGGGGTTGCTCCAATCACCTCCATTAGCATGATCCACGACAGGGCGATGTGTCTGTAAAAAAAAAAAAAAAAAAAAAGCATTTTTTTTTTTTTTGAATTGGCACTTCACCCAACCCGCCCACATTTTTTAAGTACAGCCCACCCTAAAAAATCGATAAACAAGTAAATAAATAAATAAATAAATGTCATTGTGTCCCAACCGACCCAAGTGTTTTTTTGAAATTTTCCTCCCACACCCTCGGGGCCAAAAGATGTAAGGCAAGCTGGGGTGAACAATCTTCTCCCCAAACACCAAACGCCGGTGCGCTTTCAAGAACCCAGATTCAAGAAGTTGATAGAACATTAAACTACCAACAAGATTACGCGATCCTTAGAAATATTTTTTAGGATGTTGTACAGAATAGAAGTTAAGAGCTAAAATGCCAATCATGATCTTATCCACGAAGATATTCTTCCAATTAAGGATAAGGAATTTGATCTGTGAGAACAAAATTTGCAGTTAAAAATTGGAAATCAGAATTAGAAAATTAAAGGCTGTTTTTTAAGTGTTTTAAAAATTCGAGAACTAGAAATTTGGAATTCGGAGTTGAGCAGCTTGAGCTTGAATTTATGAATGTAGTTTAGGATCTGTTTGCTTGTTTTTTTTTTTTTTTTGTTTGTTCGTTCGTTTGTTTGTTTGTTAGGAACTGAAATTTATGATATCTTCAATGGCAAGCGACTTAGAACGTAAGAAGAAGAGTTTGGAAAAAAAACAGATTTCAATTAGAAGTTGTACATCAGAAAGTAAGACTTAAGGAAAATTTTGACTGAAATTCCAAAGATTCTACGACAGACAAAATCAGCGGTGTGGTTGATTGCTGCGCCCCGCCGTTACGACCTCACCAACGAGAGATGGAGTAGCGGGCAGACGTGGCGCGACTATGCCAGGTGTGGTGGAGCGGTAACGCGTGACAATGTTGGGCGCCGCTGGGCATAGAGGGTGGCTATGATAG